AGCTCCATTTACGTGTGTGTGTGTGCGTATTTGTGTGTGTAAAGCAATAGTCTGCATCACTATCAGATCCACTGGCTCTTTGAGCAGGCACCTGCGTCTGTTGGCCTCTCAGCAGACCTAGGGGACATCTGGCTCCTGCTTCCAATCTGACTTAAGAGGAGGGTTTTATGGGTTGCCTGTATTTGCTAGACCCGCGTTATGTAATTGTGTTGCATAAGTCAAGTCCTCAAGGGGATTATTGGTAGATTGCTAGATACCTCTTCCTGCCTGTGCCATAGAAGGGTGTCTTCTTCAGAGCAAAGGAGAATAATGGAGAAAAGCTCCAGTATTGTTTCTTAAATAGATATTCTGGAAATTCAGAATTTATATTTTTTCCCATCTTCTTTCGTACTCTTTCTCCATTTCGTATATTCGTTTGTTTCCTGCTTACTTACCTCCCTTTCTACTTTTTTTTTAGGTGTGTGCACCATGGCGTCTAAACCTCACCCTCCTCTGATGAAGAAGCACAGTCAGACAGACCTGATAAGCCGCCTGAAGAGCCGGAAGATCCTTGGAGTCGGTGGTGAGGATGATGATGGCGAAGTGCACCGCTCAAAGGTCAGATTACATCACATGATGTTTTATTCATGTCATTCTTATTCGATACGGGCAGTAATGCAGACAATAAAGGGAACATAGCACAACAAACTACTAAAAATGTAAGCTTGTGTGTTAAACCATCATCAGTCAGATGGATAATATTGCAGCAATGTATAAGAAAAAATTGCACTTAACCATAGAGGCATTCATTAAACCCACGAAGAGCTATGGATTCCTTTTAAAAGCCTCAATTGGCTACTAATTGGCTCATCACTCTCATAGTGTCCCATTGTGTGCATTTGCTCCTTATGCTTCAGTGAATCTAGATCACGTAATCCCATGAGCTCCCGCAGCTCCACTGAGATGTGACTGGCTCCTCTGGGAGACTCCCTGCCTCCTGCATCTCATGTATTCTATTTCTGCCTCATGTATTTGCACATTAATATAGACAGTGCACAGTGATGTGTTTGCCAAAAACCCAGCAACACACATGCTGGTTCATGCCAGTAGACTCAAAAGCACTTGTCGTATTCATGCGTGTTGAGCTACACAGTTGCAGACTGACAATAATTTCTTGTTCCGTTTTTAGAGGGCTCAAATATCAACATTTGAAAAATATATTTTTTGCAAGAATGATAAGCAGAGCTGTTCTTGACTGAAATATTAATCAGGCAAGTGGGAGAAGGGAACAGAACAGAAGGGAGCGGGCATACGGTGGTGACTGATAGCTTGTGATGAGATGTCAGCCCCCTTTTCTCAGCCCTCCTGAGTGTTTGTTTTCTCTCTCAATGTTTTAGCAAGAAGCCTAACCCAGACATCTGCCACTCAGATCCCTTCCACAAAGCGTACTGACGGATATATGCACCGATAAAGAAAAATAAACACTTAATGCCTCATGCCAATGAAGCTTATTTACGTTGAGAAAGATTCTTAGTTAGATACTGTCTGTAATGATTAAATGGAGATCCAGCAGCAGTCTGTACAAAGTAAGACAATACTTTGGCTCATGTGGTCTATTGTACATGCTCTTTTGAATAGTAGGTTTCCCTATTTAACTGTGGCATTAACCCTAATTTAGAAATTAAAGTATTCCACTGCATTGTGCTCTTACTCTTGAGTTGTTCCATTTATACTTGCCACAAGTGTTTGTGGTAAAGAGACCCATGAGATTTAACAGTAAGGTTAGCTGCATAGCAAGAGTTGGTTTGGAGGGGAAATGTTTGCCCCTATCCCTGTAGTCCCTGTAAACAAAGGAGGGAAGTGCTCCTGTAGTCCACTGACTGTCTCTTCCTGCCTTTTTTTGACTGCTTAGAGATAAGAATACTGTTCCTATTACTTATACTTCAGTGGGAGAGAGGCTTTGTATGTGTGCTACCATATGTGAGTGTAACTGTGCCAAGACATATTACCCTTCTAGCCCATTGTGTCACTGTAAATTTATTTAACCTACCAGTACACCACTTACATCACGTAGCCACAATACTTTGACAGCAGAAGCCTTCATCATTAAGGCATACTATAATGTTTTGTGTGTATTTTGTGTCCCAGAGGATTGCCACTGAGATATATATGAAATGGAGATGTGACTGCACAAGCTGACAACATCCATCAGATGAGAAGCGTACATACTACAAATGACAAATACAAGTTTGGTGGATAAAATATTTCTCCTTCATATGTTTCATGCTCTCTGGCTTTAAAGTTTCCTTTTGTTTACTGAACGTAGCTGACTGCGTGACTGAAGGCAAGGCCATAGCAGCTGTGATTAAGCATCTCTCTCCACAAACAACATTGTGTATTTCTTCCTTTTTCCTGTTTCTCCCTCTCTCCCCAACTCCCATCCGCTCTATTCCACCCCAAGCCAGCCCTGTGCCATCAGTTGACGCTCAGTTCCCTTTGAGTATTTCTCATGCCAGTCATGAATATTTATGTGTTCCTGTCAAAAACAACCCCTGAAACCATGGCACAGGAAGCCTGATTCACCTGATCATGATCACAGCTGGCACAGATGGATTTGTGTACAAGCACTTCAGTTGCAGTGCTGAAGGAGAGATGTACTGGGTCTGGTGTGTAATTCCTCATCTTAATATTTTTTAGTTTAACTTCAAGGGTGTCTTTTCTTAAGGGCTCTACTCTGAGATCAAAGCAAGTGGCAGCCATGGGTGAGAGGAAATGTTGAATATAGAAAAAAACATCAACACAAAGATTCCCCATCCCCCATTTCAATTAAGACACTTTGTATCTTCTCATATCTTCCTCTCTTCTATTTATGACATCATAAAAAAGCAAATTCTGTGAAGCTACTTAAAGGAGGCCCCTTTGGCCCATTGGTATCACTCCATTTGTGTGTGAATGCATGGTAGTGTGCAGTAATAGTATGAATTCACAAAGAATGGATGGTGGCCACTGATAGCACCATTCATTTTACATTTCTTATAACTGCTATTTTCCCTGTCTCAAGGTCCGATTCCCAGAGATATTACACTAATGATATTGCAGTGAATACAAACCCATTAAGTTTTGCATCTCAGTGCAGTTTTGTAATATTTGTTAAGTGTACTGAAGTAGCATCATGGTTCAGCAACGTTTGAGTCAATAAATGTTATAAATGCAGTTACAAGAACAATACTTTCCATCATCTCTTAAAATGAGAACATGTTGTGATTCTAATTGTAATATATAATTTTATTCTAATAATATGGTATTAACGCCCCTTGCTCTTTCATTTATTTCTATCCCCAGGGTGTCTCTCATTTTTCTTCAAAGTGTTTCTAATTTAGGGTGCTTTAACAGTGTATACTCTCCCTCATGCTGCTGGGGACACGGACAGTTGTTTTCTCTCTCCAGTGCACGACCAGCGTGTAGCCATTGCTTCTGTTTCTCACAGCAGTGGGTTTTATGTTGTTTTAAAGTTTCATTCCCTCATGGTATCAGGTTTGTACTGTCTGTGCCATCTGTAAGCATATGATTTACTGTGAGGCAATAACCTGGCCACACTCTCTGCTGCCATATCACTGAAAAGTGTGGGTGTGACACCCCTTATAAATTGTGCTTCACTTACCTTTAATTCTTTGAAGTATGAAAAAATAATTTCACTCTATCAGTGAACAGTACATTGCAATATGGCAAATGTATGCAGAAGCTTATATTCAATTCAGTTTCATTTGTATAGTGCCAAACAGAAGTTATCTTACTTTTATGCATTGAATAAGAACTTTTTATGTGAGAAATAAATCTTTCAAAAACTAATTTTGATAGATTTTAATTTCACAGCTTGCTTAGAATAAGTAATGTAGATAACACAAAGTTGCAAAACAATAATATGAGTTGCTCTTGATGGCATGTTTTGCAACTAACTAATGCAAGTTTTTGCCTTTTGCACTGAAAATATGTCTAATTAAAAGAGTCATAATTTATCTTATTTTAGATTTGAACCCTTTTGTACATTCATGTGGATATTTGAACCAAACATGACACGGAACAATCAGATGGTAGAATACAATTGTTTTTGAAAATGTTCCAGATGCAGTGCTCCGTGACATTTACATGGTGGCAACAGCCTTGAAAACCCTTGTTTTGATTACTCTAGTATATGACATGAATCATTTTCTTTCAGTCATGTTGACATTTCACAGGCTTGTTAAGCAGAAAACTACTTTGCAATTGATATTGACTTCCCTGTAAACACTGTTAGCCAGAAAATCATTCATCTTCTCTGCTTTAGTGGTTTTCATGCTTCAGTGTATTTTTAGTTTCAGTGATGCTATGTCTCACTACAACACAAAAATAGTTTTTGAGGGAAGAGATATTTACTGATCAAGAGAACTCATTGATGATAGGGGAGTGATAGGACCTGAAGGTCTGTTCAGACAGAAAACTGGGTTTATTTTTTTCTTGCCCTCTGTGTGGTTTATCTGGGACAGTTTGTTTACCTCCGTGCCCCTGTGTATTTTAGGATTAAAAAAAACAAAAACAAAATCTGATGTTGACAAAATCACACCACCTTCCATTTTAGAAGCAAAATGTTTGTCATTTTGTTTGACAAATAACGATTAATAGTCAAATGTGGTGGTGATACATTTCCTCGTATCAACTAATGATTTAATTGATTAATTGATTGAATCTTCTAATGGCTTCATGACTATATCACAACAGACAGTTATAGATTAGCATGCTGGTAATATCAGACTGAACAGAAATGGAGCCAGAGGGAATGCTTGGATGCCTTTATATTTCATGTGAATACATTAGTGCTTAATGGAGGAGAGTTAAAAAAACAAAAAAACAAGTTGCCAATTATTAGCATTCCAGCATCTTCTAGCCTCTGTGATAAGAGATTCTTATCCTAACAGATATTTCCAGGGAAACGCTTGGGTGTGTCTTCTCAATATTGCAGTATGAAAAGATTTATTCTGTTTAGCATGTCATAAAATATTAACAGTCTTGCTGTTCAACGACTATTGACTCAGTTTGTCATAATTTTCTCCCACTCAATGCTTCAGACTCTCAGGATCATACATTGAGTATTGCGTGGTACTCCTGTTACTAGGATTAAGTTAATTTGCAGCAAATAAGGCTTTTCTTCTGGAATAGGTCAGTCAGTCAGTCAGTCAGTCAGTCAGTCAGTATACACTGCACTTTGTTATGGCACGACCCTCTTAATCATCAGTGGATGATTAAGGAGGTGAAGACAATTACAGTCTCTAATTAACATCCTAATAAGTCCTTCTTTGACACTCGGCCTCTCTTTTCTTCTCTCGCCACCGCTTTGTTTAATGTGCTTTTTACCAGTAGCTCGCTGCAGATGTGTTGACAGCATTGAATACACCTCCATGGAGAACACTTTATTCTTGGCTATGTGGCTCTTTGTTGAAGGCTGTCATAATAGATATCTGTTAAGATGACATGATTGCTGTTACATTTCCCTTCTCATAACTCATTTCCCTTTTCTTTTGTCTTTCCTTGTTCGCTCACAGATCAGTCAGATGCTCGGAAATGAGATGAAGTTTGCAGTGCGAGAGCCTATCGGGCTGAGGTAAGACTTCAACCGCTCAGAACAGCTCACAGTTAACACACCAGACTGTGTGAGGTCATCCGTGTGTATCACTTCCAGCAAAGTTAACATAATGCAAACAGTGTGAAAACAAATGTGTGGTCAATATTGGTTGCAGGAAGTATACGGTACATCATGTTTTATGTCTCTTCTTAGGGTGTGGATACTGATCTCAGCAGTGGGTTTCACAGTTATGGCCCTGATGGTAAGTGTTGCTTAAATTATCATTGAGGATGTTTCACATTCACAAGTAAAAGGTCTACATACAAGTTTAATAGTGTTTGTCAAAATGGAGTCTTTTGTACCGTTATGAAGGAGAAAAAGCATTCATTTTAGAAATAAGAAAAATCCTGTTATGCAGTGAGTCACTGTAGATTATTTTCTAACTTATCAGAGAAGGACATCTGGAGAAACAGCCATGTCTTTGTCAGCCATACCACCTAAATTCTCAATATCTTTAGTGTTCAGGGCATATGTAGTGATTCTAACTCACAGACAGGAACACTTTGTCAATTCTGCTGCATTTTGGGGCCTTTCTGGGGCATTTCAGGAGAACAGAATGCTCTTGTGTTGATATTACAGAGTCGTGTTGTGCTTTTGTTTTCCTACACAGGCCCTGGTGTTTCCCAACCAGCTATACGAGGTTGTTTTTGAGGAGGAGCTCTCCACAATTAACATCTCCATTCGCCTTTATGGAGGAGCGCTGCTTAGTAAGTCGTCGCTCCTAAAATGAAGTTCATAAAGCCATTCATGCTGCCTCGTGCATAGCTGCAGTACAGTGAATATAATGCAGCAAACACATTCACTGTGTTGCAATGATGCTGACAGACATTTTAATATTTATTTATATACATGCTAAAAATATACATGGCTCAACTGCACGTGGTCTCTTGTGATAATGCCTTCTAATGCATTCATTACAATTCACACACACACATTCAGCATTCAGCAATGTACAAAAATCATTCCTTTAGGCTACAAACGGAGGCTGTATAATGTAATTCAGTTCTGTGTATCTACAGTTCACGATGAGAGCTTAACGGGTACAGTGACCAAATTCTCCCAAATACTCACAGCAAAAAGGCCTCATGTTTCAGGTCTTAATCTGCTGAGAGCTCAGTAAAGGATGGCAGAGCAGTGTATGTACTGTATATGTGTTTGTGTGTGGGTCGGCCTGGATCTGAGAGGGAGGCAGTGTATTACTCTACATTGAAATGATTCTGTATGCTCAATCAATCATGCATTAAATAGAGATTTTTATTTTATTTTTGCTTTTCTGTGCCATGCCACCCACAGGCGACAACTAATGCTCATAAATATGCCAGGTAATTATGGCATTTGTGCTTTGCTCCCCTCTCACGGAAAAAATATATTGGCAATGTGAGCAATTATTTTAATGGCCTTAGTCTGAGAAAAGGCTGTCGGGCAAGTCGGTGAGTCAGTCACTCAGTAAATGATTGCATGGTTTGTGATAGCTCTGTGAAGAACAGTGTCACTGTGACACAGAGGCAGGTGGCACACAGGTTGGTCTTTGATGGGAAAGTAAGCAGGAACATAAAGAAGGATAAGATAAAAAAAGATTATAATTGCCAGGTTGTCACTTCCTGCTAAGTTAAGCCAAATATGTCAGAAAATCCAAGCCTTATATAGGCATAGGAGCACAAAATATTTAATCTAATATGTTCTCTTAATCTTCCCTCCTTAGTTAATAGGAATGCCATTGAGAAGCATCAAACTGTACTTACATACTGTATACATTTTATTTTGTAAAATCTGAACAAATCAAAAATAACCCTCTGTATGATTGGTGCATTGCCTGAAGACAGATACAGCCTTAATCATGGCACTGTGGAGGCAGCTATGAATGAACCAGCTTTCTGTCTCTTAAGGCCAGCAAAAGAAGGACTTCTTTATTTTAAATGTCAGCAGGGCTTTGGGGATTAGCAAAGAAAAAAGGGTGATGTCCTACAAGACAAGGATGGGGTCTCATCTGCCACACAGATGGAACCTGGCAGGGAGAGGATACAGTCCATCAGCCCTCCCACCTTTCTGCCCACCCCTTCTCATTTACACCGTCTCACTGGTATATATGTGTATGTGTGTGTGTGGGTAGGAATACAGGGAAATTAACTGGAAGAATGGCGGGGAATGAAATGATTGAGCACAGGCTTTTATCAGAATCATTGAGTCAAGGCATTCAACGGAATCAATAGGCCAATTATCACCGTGTGCATCACAGACTGCAGTTGGAGTACAGCTGCAAGTAAACGGTGCTCATAGTAGTTTTATTAATGGAATTTCTTTTGAACGTGTAGGAGTCTTCTTTTCTGAGCTTCCTCTTCTTTTCTGTTTTCATTCCCATGCCCCCGAACCTATAAATTCCCTTTTTATCATATCACTTTCCAGGCCTGGCCCTCATCATGTGGAATGGCCTCTACACAGCAGAGAAGATCGTCATCCAGTGGACTCTGCTCAGTGAAGCCTGCTACTTTGCTGTCCAGTTTCTAGGTGATTAAAGTTTTCCAGTACATCATTTTTACAGTTCTTGTCTTTTTGTCCTGGGCTGTTAGAATCACAACATCAGTGAGCATTTTCTGTCACTTCTGTATTGAGTTCAGACAAACCATTAGTCAGAATTGATTTTACCAGAGAATTGTGCTGTGTATGTGTTGATACTGCCCTCTTGTGGTCAGAGTGTAGAGTCACAGCCTGGCATTAAATTAAAGGATGTGTACATGGGGGGTTATTGTTTTAAGGCAGACTTAAAAAATGTGAACCTGTCCTTTAAGTTCCCCTTTCCAGAAGTTAATAAAGGAAAGTCATGTGCAATGTGCCTTTTACTTATAATAAAAAAAAAAATCATATTTCAAGTACTAAATGTTGCACTGTGGTTTCAGTGACATCCATCACCTTAATTGAGATCGGCATCCTGCCCAATGCTGCCATGCTCCTGCTCCTCAGTCGAGTGCTCTTCCTTGTGGTCACCATGGCTTACTACTACCACCTGGGCCGTAAGCCGAAGAAGATCTGAGCTAACTGTGCGATACTTCCAGGGAGGGGACAGCTGAGCACAGATCACAAACGTGGGGTCAGAAGGTTTGGTTATTTGATTGGGGCATGGAGCATTACTTTGCCATTGGATGCACTCTGCCCCCTTCCATGGGACCTAGCCTATTATAACCCCCAGTATTCAACAGATGAGCACACATTCCAGACTCTACAACAAGAACAAGAAACCTCATAGTGAAAGTGAATCACTCTTTCAGTGGGGTGTGAGGTCAAGTCCCTCTTGACACACATTCCTCTTTTGTTCAGTTCTGAGTGCTGTTATTATAAAGAAGGAACTTGCAGTTTGTAGTGCATTGTGTTCTTGGCGTCACCTAGTTATATGATTTAAAATGTACAGTACAGAGTCATTTCATCTACATGATTCCCAAATTCAGTATTTAGTGTTATTTGATAAGTTGCATCTTGACACAGCTTCTTAATCACACTCAAGGACCAAGAGTTTGTGTTATAATGTGTTTTCTGTTTGATGGTAACTCATAATTTTATGTATGCTAAAGTGAAGCCTGAATATCTGTGCTCTTGCATGCTTCTCTGACAGCTCCCCAGTGAACACACTGAATGGAAAAAGCATCAGCTGGGCTTAGTGTAAGATTCAGGTGCAGTCAGATAAGCGAAAACTCCTAATGGTCAGTTTTTACTCTGTCATGCCCTTCAATCATATTCAGATTTAGACTACCCCCAAAAAAAAACAGAATCTAAAAATTTTTCAGGGACAGAAATATTTTTTTTTATTCCTCAAGATCAAGAAGTTCTACCAAAGTGAAGTTTTGTACAGAGTATTTACACTACTGAGATTAATACATTAGTAATGTTGACAAATGCACACGTGAACTGACTCATAGAAGCGAAGCAATGTAGTTTTCTCATTGTCGTGCGTGTGCACTGGTAGGCAGGACTTTAGCCTGAACGATCTTACAGAAAGTATTTAACATTATAACCTTTACTGTAAAACTAGTGTCACAAGCCGAGCATGTCAGTGTGTAGGACAAACAAACCCCTGCTGGTTCCTCTTCAGTGATGTAGCACAGTTTTTTACGCGCACCATATCCTTAGCCTTGCCTTAAAACTACTTAAAAGAAAAGTCATCAACACTGCATCCTACTTCTTGTATATATGTAAATAAAAGTATTTACTATGACGTGGTGTTCTTGTGAACCGAACAGGGAACTTGTTCAGTATTAGTGAAATGATTTTCAAAGGTTGATCTTTCTTTTGGCGTGTGTTATTTTATACCTATTTAAGTGACATTGTGTTTTTTGACGTCATGCATGCAATATAATCCAGCAAAAGAAATAGCTCAAACTGTGTAGCAAGCTGCCACCAATACAACACAAAGCAGATAAATACAGACGTTAATGGGGGTGAATGGATGGTAAAAGTGGCAAAAAGCCAAAAACAGGACAATTTTAATTAACAAGGCAATAAAAATAAATGTGCTTCAAAACAGATATTGCCCAACGTTTGACAGTTTTCACCCAATTTATACGTTTAATACATTTTCTACCTCCCGATACTTGGCACGCCCTCAGGTACGTGACATCCCAGCTCACTGTTTTAGAGCTGTGCCAGCAAATGCTAATTTGTCAACTCTGATCTCTGCACATCATCCACCTACGGACAGTCAAAAAGACACCCTAAAGACAGTTGAAGTCGTTTTGTAAATTTAACTTGAAATATTATTTTAAGTCGAACAAGAAACATACTGTAGGTCTCCTCCAAAGGTGGTCCATGTTGTTGGAAATGACCACGTTCAGTCCTGGCCCAGAAGGGAGTGGTCCTGAGGTCGGAGTGATTGAGGGTTTGCAGTTGCGAGTCCGGCACTGAAGGCAGATGTGCTTGTTACTTGGGTGAGCTTTCAGTTCAGATAGGGAATGTGAAACATGGGTGAGGTCTCCCAGACTCCTGAAAAGTTGTAATTACCCCTTTTCCAGTGTTTAATTAGATGCAGCTTTCCAGAGTGACATTGTGTGCCCCAACCTACTGCTCTGTCCTGACTAGCATGGTAATTATGGAGTTCAAGAAAAATGTCATTCCATTTCCGTCGATACTACAGGCCTCAAATCATCATCCTGGTGAAATGAAAAGGGTCTGTTAAGCAGGTTATTTTAGGAGAGATGGGCAGTTTTGGGGGGACGAGCAGAAGAAGGGAGGCGAAGAAGCGATTTCTTTGCCTCCCTTCGCCTCTTTCATCCTCCTGGTTCTCTGACGTAAATTAGTCAAAAACATTGGTAAGTTGAGTCCTTGATATTTTAGAGGAATGGTGAGTTGAGCTATTCATTCCTTCTGATGTAGATCCAACATATATTGTACTGTTGTGAATAGCATACCAGGTCAAACTGTTTCAAGTTGTAGCATTGTGTTTTTATGTATATATGTGCTATATTGTACCTCAAAAATTAATTGTTATGAATTTTCACAATTTAGTTTGAAATAAAGGACACTATTGTTTATTTTGAAGACTTCAACGGTGATTTAATTCTCTTATTTCCTCATCCTTTTTAATAGAGGTATAGAGTATAGTGGCTGCAACAAAGTATTATTTCATTATTGATTAATCTGCTGATTGTTTCATAGTTTGATCTATAAAATGTCAGAAAAAGGGGAAAAATCACATTTACTCAGTCACATTTTCATAAAGCCCAATGTCATATCTTAAAATTGCTTGTTTTTCTGTCCAAAACCCAAAGATATTCAGTTTACAGTCACATATGAAAGAAAGAGAAGCAAAAATCTAAAATAGACAAAACATTTCTGATTATCAAAATAATTTCTGTAGATCAATTAATCGAATAATAGTTTCAGCTTCAGAAATATACTTTTCCTGCTGGATACTGGAGTCCACAACTTCAAAATGTATTAAAATTAAAATGCATTAATCTCTCTAAAATAAAAAAAAAGTTGACAAATCAACCACCTCGAACATACTGAAATACTTAACTCACACACTGAGAATCATAAGGTTGAGAAATGCTTTCACACAATCAAAACCTCCTGTGTAATTCCACTCATGTTTTCTGTGTGAGATGAGCCTGAGTAGGCTTTAAACTTGCTGTATAAGTGATGCCCAGCAGCAAGGGTGAGACTTTAATTTTTAGGCACAGGTATAGACTCACTGATTAAAATGTCATGTTAAATTCAACAAAAAACTCCACAAACCAGAACATGTCCCAACAGATCAGCCAGAGAGCTGTTACGTAATTGCATCCTTTGGTGTTTTCTGTTTGGAAAGTGTTGAACATGTCATAACACGGTCTATTATTTCAGGTCTGCGCAGAATCTACCTGGTGTAGTTAACATTCACCATCCCCAGTGCTCTCGCTCCTTTTACACACACATTGGGCAAAGGGTGAAAAGGAGGATTGTGTGGCACAGGAAATGTGTGTGGGATTGGGGGGTTTATAGGCAAAAAGCTCCATGTGTCCCTGTGTATGCCTTCTCCCCATACTTTCCACTCAATATATTTAGTCCTGGTTTTTTTCTTAAGGCATGGTTGTAAACAGAATTTTAGAATGGCTTACAGTGGGTCATTTAAAAGGCAGCCTAAAACATTTTGTCTGGTTTACCCAGCAACAGCATGAAATATGTTTTTTTATATATAAATTAAACCACCCAACAGTATATACAAGTACATCTAAAATGATTTGATTAACTGGTAAGTTCACCAAGAGAAAATTAATAAATTAAACAAAACTATTTTGACATGTCATTTGAGTTATTATTAGTCACAATGCCAAATATGTAATGGTCCCAGCTTATCAAATGTGAGGATTTGCTAAAGTGAAATGAGGAAAAACAGCATTATAATGACATATTGTAGTGCTGCAGAGAGGCCTTGGCCCACAAATACTTTTCTCTAGTTTTAAAAAAAA